ACAGACTAGTACAGCCACAATGGAAAACATTATGGAGGTTCCTCAAAAAAATTGAAAGTAGACCTACCTTGTGACCCAGATATTCCACTTCTAGGTATTTATCTGAAGAAATACAAAACACTAATTTGAAAAGACCTATGCACCTCCATGCTTATTGCAGCATTATTTACAATAGGCAAGATATGGAAGCAGCCTAAATGCCCATCAATAAACAAGTGGATAAAGAAGATGTGGTACCTATATACAATGGGATACTATTTGGCCATAAAAAAGAATGAAATCTTACCATCTGCAACAACATGGATGGACTTAGAGTGTATTATGCTAACTGAAATAAGTTGGGCAGAGAAAGACAGATTCCATATGATTTCCCAAGCAAAATAAATGAACAAACAAAACAGAAACAGACTGATAGATACAGAAAACAACCTGATGGCTGCAAAATGGGAGGGGAGTTGAAGGGCTGGGGTAAAAAGGGAAAGTGATAAAAAAGGAAAAAGAACTAAATGTCTTCAGGGAAAATAGGTCTTTAGTGAGAATAGAAAATAGGGGACAAATATCCCTCTATCCCCACTAAGCATTTGCAAAAAGGGAAATAGGCTTCAGGAAGCATGTTTGAGTTAGATTTTTTAAAACGTAATTTTACAGTAGTGAAGAGAAAATGCTGAAGTGAAACATGAAATGACCTTACCTAGTAGTTTTTAAAATAAAAGATTGGGTGTGGGGTAGGGGATGGAGACATACCTGTTTGTATCTGTTTTGCTCTCCTTCTTCAAGGTAACAAGAGGGGTGGGTTGCATTCACGAATTCACTCAACAGGTAAGTACTGATGCCTCCTATACATCAGTCTCAGGTGCTGTTTAGGTGAGAGAACTGTAGCAGTGAACAAACTAGGACAGACAGACAGACAGTAAGCAGATAATTGATGACATATTTCTCAGATGATGCTAAATACTACAAGAGAAAAAAATGGGGGCGGGGGGAGGGAGTAACCAGAGGGGTGGGAGGTGAGAGTGGGTGACTCTTTAAATAGGCTTGTCAGGAAAGACCACATGGGAAAAGTGACTTTTGAGCAGAGCGCCTAGATCACAGATTGCAACAGATTAGCAGACAGCTGAGAACATTACAGGTGGAGGAAAAGCCTGCAGGTGAGAGCATACTTGGCATGTTCCAGCAATAGCAAAGAGTAAGGAAGCGATAAGAAATGAAGTCAAAGAGGGTGCTTAACAGCTCAGATACGTCATTCCTTAACTTTACGATTAAATTCTGCATTTAGGGAGCATTCCTACACACCAGAAACAAAACATGCCCCCGGGGAGATTGTTTTTGTAGCTATAGAAAATTTTCAGTAATCAACTCTCTCAGGGATAACAGCCAATCTCTTTCTGACTAGTGTGATATTTTTCAGTCTCTTCTGTTAAATCAAGCCATAGACCACCTAACAACTACATGTGAATGATTAAGTTTTCAAACGTAGGCACTGTCTTTTAACTTGAGTATATGTCAAAACACAACACAAAGTAGCAGTCAATGAAAAATAGTAACATAAGAGTAAATATGGTGAGACATTTTAACACATAGCTCTAAAGAAGCATGATATCACAGCCTATTCACACAAAATCTGAAGACTACTCTGTCCCGGACCCATCTTTCAAGGACAGCGGTTTACCTCGTTCTCCGTTCTCTGGGACTTGACCTGGGGAACCAGCTGTCTGCAAAAGCCTGGTGATACTTGCAGACAGAGCAAAAGAAAGGCCCAGGGTTCTGTTTCATTCCTTCTTTCTCCCTCTCTCTACCCGCACCCAGAGCAGAACATCCACATCAAGGCCTGCATTATATTTCAAGTTGAGGTTCAAATAGCTTGCTCTTTGCAGGGACTCCACACTTCCTGAAACAGGGGGAACCTTTTAGAAATTCAGTTTGCTGAGTCACCAGCCAGCTGCACACTCACTCTTTCATTTAAAGCCATCAGGCTGAGACCCCAACTCCTGTGTGGTAAGGGGAACACCAGGACCACAGGGAGAGCACCTTCAGAGGAAATTCCTGCGATGCGTCCAGACTTGGAACAAAAAGGAGCATTTTTGCTTCAGTGTCCTGAAGGAAACATGGTCACTCAGAAGTAATTACAAAAACTTCTGCCTTTATCTTTACAGGGTACTCTGCACAATACCTTCCACAGCTGCCTAATTACTGCCTGGTTTATTTTATTTGAACTGAGTTTTCATCCATTAAGCATATTCATAAGCATGACAAAGATACTAGAAAATTCTCGCCCGCCCTCAGGGGGCCGTTGGGGTGACAGCCCTAGGAGCCGAGCAATGGCTGCTGACCAGCCCTCTGTCTCACTGGTAGACAGGTTTTGGTGAATTAGTTACCAACCAATACGAATTGGACAGTTCCACATAAAAATCTAAAATTGGAGATGCTCTTGAAAACTTGAGAGATCTGGCAACAATGAAACAAAATTCCTACATAGAACTAATTGGTCTTTAGACAGAAGGTGCTGGAAGACATGCTCCCTGGGTCAGCACCCACCAGCACCGCCGCCCCCCCAGTCTCCCCATTAGTGCCTGTCCTTGCGAGGGTGGACCCGGACCCTGGTGTAGTCCAGCCACTTGATCCCACAGATGAGGAAATTGCGTGTGGAGAATTTTGAATGACTTCCCCAAGGTCACTCAATTAGGTAAAAGCTGAGCAGGAACCAGAATCCAGGTCCTCTTTCCAAGACACCTCCAGTTCCTGGAGCTTTGGCTGTGAAATAAATTGGGTCTCAGATGATACCAGCTCTGAAGTTCTATTAATTATAAATCATCACTGGAAACTAATGAAGGCATCAAAGCTGTGATACTGGTTTTAGACCAGGAGCCTGGGGGAAGTATAACATGGACATACAACATTTCCTGAGGGTTTTTAAATATAAGTAATCTATATTTAAAATGTCATGATTTTAGTAACACCAGGGCAAAGCAAGCCTAAATCAAAATCACATCCTAATTATAGTGAATAAACTGGAAATGGTATTTCTGGCCTTTTCTCAGAATTTTTTAGTGTAAGAATTCTGCTCATCATTACATTATTTCATGATAACACATACAGTGAAAATAAATGGGTAATTATTGAGGCCTTTCAAAATTCTTCATGACCAGGGATATTCTTTTCCTCATAAGATTCATTTACAGGCCATCTAAAACATGTTAGTTTACGCAGGCAGAAGTAGTATAAATGTAAGTATAATATAAAAGTATGCTGGCACTAATGACCCTGACATTAATTTTTTTTCTCGCTGCATCAATTTAGAAGAGAAATGAGAGATTTCCTACATTCATTTTTCTACGTATCACTGGCTAATAATTCCATCCTATTTCCCCAGAAGCTCCAACTCCACCTGCACCATTTCTACAAAACTGTCACTTTGAAAGCATTTAAAAAGAAACCAAGATATAATCTATAATATTATAATACCTATATACAGTGCCAGGGGGTACTGGAGCTATCGGGGGGAACACTTTGTAAAGTATGATTGTCTAACCACTATGCTATACACCTGAAACCAATACAAAATAATATTGAATGTAAACTGTAATTGAAAAAAGTTTTTTAAAAAAACCAAAATATTTCTTTGGAAAACTGTGTAATCTTGAAAACGACCCTCCACACCCTCTTTAGAAAAAAAAAGTACTAACTAGATGATGATATAGAGATCATTGATGTGACAAGTGAAATATGTCAAAATGCTTTACTCTTTTCTTACCACATTAGCAGCCATTTAAACCTGGATACCTGTAAGATTATCTAAGACAGTCTCAGCACAATGCTGTTTGGTAAAGCTGTAATGTCATTTGAAATTGCAGTTACTAAAATTAAACTGGCACTTGGCAGAAATTACCATAACACTTTGCATCACACTCTGAGAGACAGAAAGAATGTCTGCGTGGCTCAGGCAGCCCTCAGAGCAGAGCTGTGCATCACAAGAGGGACTGCACAGAGAAAGGTCAAGTGGGAGCAAACCTTTGAAACCCACAATCACAAAAATATTGCAGTCTCCAGTCCCTTCATGGGGACCCAGAAGTCACTGCTGAAGGTCAAAGTCCAATCTTCTCTGCCTTCCTGTCTCGTTTTTTGTTTTGTTTTGTTTTGTTTTGTTTTGTTTTTTTAATCGGAGAGAGGAGGTGCTCAGTAGCTGGGCAAAAAAAAAAGGAAGGCTCTTCTTTGTCATCTGCCAGAGTGGGTTTTCTCCCTCACCTCCCCACCACTTTCAGGATCTAGGCAAACACCCTCTGAACTAGGATGGGACATTCCTTAATTGCAGGAGGAAGACTTTTAGGGCAATGGAAAGGCATCCCTCTGCCTGGGAAGCATTTTGTTCTAACCTGAAGCATATGTCAGCTTCCTCACTACACAGCTCAGGAGTCAAGTGCAGTTAAAGAGTTAAAGTCCTCAGCAATGAGACTGGGAGAGACTCCTGGAGCTGCGCAGGTGCTGAATCACTGCCTGCCATTGTTCATCATGCCACAGATTCCCAGGTTTGAGAGAGAGCAGCGTTTGCCTTTTCTTATTTTGCCATTTTAAGAAAAAAGAATGAAGTAAGTTTTCTGCTCTCTCAGCATGGAACTGAGCATACAGGAGATGCTCCTAGTCAGTATTTCTGGATGACAAACACAGTTTTATAAGATCTCACCCGAGTTCCTTCCCACCCTGCAAATCCAGCCTGATATTGAGGTGTCTAGTCCACAGATGGCCAGTTTAGAACCAGATAACCGGACATAATAGCTAAAGGGCTAAGACCCCTTGTGGGACTCTGGCCAAAGCTCTGTCCTGTCATGATGTCATCTTACTGCATAGCACAGATTCGCACAGTTCAGAATTTCACAAATAATGAAATTGTTAAATTGATGATACAAAATGAAAACAAGAGAAAAGTTATCGTTTCTTAGCCACAGGCGGGGGAGGGGGAAGGAAGGTATGCAAGACATACAGCAGAATTGTTTGTTTCTTCTTTTTTATTTAGTCACAACACATCAGTACAACAGAGGTCAAACCTAGCTCAGTGGAGGGCATTTAAGCTATGCCTGCTAAACGAATAAACCTGGAAAATGATGTTCTTATAGCTTGACTCAAATGAAATAAACCAAAAAGAAGGCAGCAAAGCCCTCTTAAATATCTCAACAGTCACATCTCCATGCACCAAAAAAGGAAACACATAAAAATTTCCATTGACAAAATATATGGCCATTCTGAGAAGTAGGTTATGCCTTTAACAGGTTCCACTGGACTATCTGACTGACCAGCTGACCACCCAGTTCACTTATCTGTATTAACATTTGTGAGTTTGAGATCTGTAAGATTACAAATACATTGCACTGTTTAGGGCTGGTAAATGCAGGCATAGTCTATGCAATTATCTTCAGTCTCCTCCCAGCCAACTGCAAAAGAGCCTGAACTATAAGTGGCTTCCTCCTAACTAAGCCACAAGTATGAATCTGGTCCGGGCAGACAGCAGTTGGTCATATGAACTCAGGGCTCCTGATGATTTGTTTGTACATTCACCTTTCCTGCTGTAGGATGCAGAGAATTAACTAGTCTCCTGTCTTGGATAAAGCTGATCATCTGATTTGTCAACGCTGTGTTCAGAAATATAAAATTCAATATCCCCCCAAGAATATTATTTATACAACACCTTAATTGTCAAAATATTAACAAATAGTGTCATGTTAACATTGAGCATAGTAGCGTGGAATATTAATCCTAAGAATAGAATGTAACTATACAGAGAAAAACAGCCCCAAAATACTAAATATTAGAATTCCCCAAACTTTGAGGCAAAAATGGAATCATTCTTAGATGGATAGGATCACCAACTTGTTCATTTATACTATTTCCGTTTAATTTTTGGAACAAAATTTAACAACTAGTTTTTAAAAACTGTTAATACATATTAATTGTTTTAAAAAACCATTTAAAAAGAAAAACCAACAAACCTTTAGTTTTTCAACAAATTTTATCTGAAATTGTACCTTTTTCCTCTTTATGTTACTGGCGACTTTAAGGTGATGTTGGCAACAGCCCAGCTCAGCTGGGCTTTTAAGTTGTCCCCTCCCTCATTCTACAGCATCAGTTCTTTAAAAAGCTCCAATCTCTGTCCCCCATGGTCTATACGGCTTGCCAAGGTTTGCTGCCTGCGTGGGTGCCGAAGGGCTCAGTGCATTGGGAGAGAGTAAGTGGAAGGAGCCGAAAGAGAAGGGGAAGGTGGACAGGGAGGCCACGGAGGAGAGCAGGGGCGGCGACAGTTTGGAGGAGGAGGTGACCACGGGGAGTACTGGTCCAAGGCCACTGCTAGGGGGCGCGCGCAGAGCAGGCGCCTCGGGATGTGCAGCAGCCAAACGGCCCTGGTGGTGCGGGTCCGTAGGCGAGGCCGCCGAGCCGGTGTTCCCGTGGCCATTCTGGGGCAGCAGCAGCGGATGCGCCACGTGCGGGGGATGTCCGAAGGCGCTCCCCCAGGGAAGGTGTCCGAGGCCCGCGTGCGCTCCGCTCGCCGCTTCCCGCTGAGAGGCGTAGTTGTTAAGATGCGAGACCAGTCGGACTCGAAGCGGGTCGGAAGCATCGAGTCCTTCGATGATGCTCAGGTAGCGGGCCACTTCTGCCAGGCATTCCCGGAACCCCAAACTCCGATAGTCCATGGCCAGGGCGTGGGCGTCAAAGTAGCCTGGGGCAGAGAACAAAAGAAAAACCTCTAGGGTCTGCTCACTGCCCTCCTTTCTTCAATACCAGAGGAAGCCCTTCCCGGCAAAGACCTACGTCCTGCAAAGACGGCAGTCACAGGCTCTTCTGAAAGTCCAAATATTTTCGAGTCGACCAAAATCTTTGCATTCGACATGAGACGTATGAGTTCACTAATGCAAGTTCAAAGCCCAATTAGAAGCTGCTGAGCAGAAATTAGAATTGTACTGTACTGGCAGATGAAACTATGTTCATTCCTTTAATGTTTTCCCTCAACAACAACAAAAAATACATCAAGGGCAGGGAAACCACAGAGCAGCGAAATTCATTAGACACACAGATGTAAGTTATCATCATGGAGCTTTTAAGCCCTTGGTCGCGAGGAAAGCATTTCTCGGCTGGAGACAGACACACAGACCCTGGTCCCCCACCTTTGGCTAGGTTTTCTCTGCTTAACCACAACAGGTTTCTTTCCTCAAGTTATGTGGAAGCTCATAAAAAAATATAAATAAATAAATAAAAACCCTGTATATAAAATTAAGACCATACATATTTTTTAAAAAAAAGGTTTCTTCTCAAAATGGCAATACACAAATGTGGTGAGAGCTCTCTGATCTTAATCAGTGTTGTCACAATTTTAGGGCACCTTACCCACAACAGGTATTTTACAAAAGAGCGTGCATTTATTCAATGTGTAGCGGGTTGGGGGGATGAATTCACACAAGAAAAATCTCTGCATTTCAAAATGCACAGACAGGCAACTCCACACAGGATGCACAGGTTCCTTCCTACCTCCCAAAGCATCCAATAAAAATAAGACAGCGACTGTGCAGGGGCTCGCTCTGCCCCAACACTCAGGGCCCGGGCAGGAGACCAGTGACATGTACCTTTCCCTCCTGCAGTGTGCAGCATTTTCAGGTGATCCACGGTCATCTGCAGGATTTCGGCTTTTTCTAACTTAGCAGATCCCTGGAGGAGAAAACCGAAAAAGACTGATTTGGCACCAGGTGCCCTTAGGAACAGTTTAAAATATATACAAATATTTGTGCTTTGTACTTCCTAAAAGAACAGACTAAGGCAAAACAAGTTGTCTTCACAAAATGTGTTGGAATTTGTATGAATTCTTCTCCTGCACAAGCAACACGGTTATTTTCCAAGACATGGATAGGGTTCGGATGAATGAGGGGGAAGGAGTCAGAAGGTGGGGGTGGCAACACTGGGAGCTCTACCTACTTTACCATTACCTGCTTCTCAAAAGCACTGGGTACCAGCCTCCTCAGCTCAGACAAACTGTTATTGATCCGGTCTCGTCGGCGCTTTTCAATGATCTGCAGAAAGCAGGCAAAACAAAGGACATTTCCATTACAGCTGTAAATCCCAAAGTGAAGAAAGGTGGTTCTTTCCGTTAATTTTTTTTTTTTTTTTTTAAGAACACTGTAAAAAGACTCACGCCTCTCCGTCTTTTCCTGGCCAAGATCTGTGAAGACGTAGTTGGGGACATGGAACCTAGGGTCGAACTCAAGTTTCTAAATGGGAAAAACAGAGCAGGAATCGCCGTTAGAGCAGAATAGGTGATCTGAGGGGTCGCACCCACGCTTCCCGCACTCAGATTGTTTTGGCAACTTGGGCCTGAAAGCGTCGGGGGTCGCCCTGGGCTGCGGCGCTCCCGGGAAGCGCAGAGGTCAGCGCAGGGCACCGGCGCACTCGGCCCTCGCCCGCTGTCATTGCGTCCAGCCCGCGCTCGCCTCCCGCTCCGGCTCCGCTCTGCAGCCGCCAACTCACCCATTCTCATCCGCACTCTCCTTTTCCACTTCGATGGTCTCGTCCAGCTCACTGTCGGAGGAGCTGTAATCGGGGTGGGCTCGCTTCATGCCGGCGGCGAGGGAGCTCCGGGAAGAGTGGACGCAGAGGGCAGGGAGGAGATAACAGCAGCGGCGATTCTTCGCGCTCCGCTGCTCGCCTTCCGCACACACTGATCCCGCTCACGCTCTACCTCCAGTTAAAACTCAACCATCCCTTTCCCACGCTGCGCCCCCTTCCCAGGGCCCTAGGGAAAGAAGGAGAAAGCAGAGGGCGGGGGGCGGAACAGTAGCGCCTGGGCCACAGCCTCCCGTCCGCCAATCTGATTTCTCACTCCGCTGATTGACAGACGCTCAGGGGAGGGGCGCGGGCAAGGCTGAGGGCCAGGGCTAACCCCACGCCCGCCCCCTGCGCCAGCCCCTGCCCTGCGGCGGTGTGTCGGCTCCGCTGGGGCTCCGCAGGCCGCCGCTTGGGGGAAGGACGGGAGGCGGGCGGGGGAGGCCGGGACACCAGCGCGCCGGCGGCCACGGTCCCGCCCCGCCCCGCGCGCCCCGATTGGCCTGGCCATGCGCCAGGGCCGCGCCTGCAGCGCCGCCGGTGAGCCGCACGCGCCGCGGGCCGTGGGAAAGTGCCGGCGCCACAGCCGCCAGCCAATCGGGCGGCTGACGGCGGCGACGGCGGCCGCGCTGGCGGCGGCGGCGGCGGCGCTGGGCGTCCGCATGAATGGAGAAGAATGGGCGGGCGGGGTGGCGAGGCCGCGGGGCCGCTCGAGGGCGCGGCGGCGGGGGCTGGGCGGTTGGGCCCCCCGTGTGAACCTGTAATCGGAGTCCGGGCGCCAGGCGGCCTCGGAAGGCGCACCGCTGCGTCGCGGTAAAACCTGGCTGCGGGATCACGTCCCCCGCGGCGGGAGGTGGGCGCACTCTGACCAGGCCGGGGCTGGTGCATCTGGCCGGCCGGTCAGCCGGCCGCTCGCGGAGGGTACAGGCGCCCTCCACAGTAGCCAGCAGCCCCGAGGCCGAGAGCTTGGCGTGGCAGGACGTGTTGTCGGCGAATGTTCTTTTTGGGTTCTGGGGCCTCATCCCAGTTGCAGCCGGCCTCGCTTCGACCGGGGCTTCCCAGCCTGCAGGACGGCATGAATTGGCCTGTGCGTCCAGTTTCCAGGGTAGTGGAGCCCTTGTTTTCTCAGCTGACTGGGGGTGGGAGCGGGGGAGGCCTCTGGGGATATTCATTATGATTTTTTTGTTTTGTTTTATTTTTTTCTGGCGTTGGCAGTGAGTTCCCCTCAGAGGGCGACAGGGTGGCGGGCCGCGCATTGCGTCTAAGGTCGTTCTCTCTGCGTAACTGCACGTCTCCGACCCAGAGACACGCACGTGCACCCACACACATCCGGCCTCGGTGGTGGCCTGTCGAGCACCAAGTGCTAGTTCAAGTCCCCAAGAAGACAGATTTTTTTTTTTTTTTTTTTTTTTTTAAAGACAGTTGTAGGTTTCGGACTGAGTCCTGATTCGAGGATTTGGAGAAGCAGTCAGGATGACTGATGTGAATTTGGAAATCCAGGCTTCTTTATCCCTTACAGCAGAGCAGAGAAATGTTTTCCTTTGAGTTGAGGGCTGTTGTGGCTGCTGACCTTGCAAGCTGTCAAGTGGGAAGGCTTGATATTGTTGAGGATGATACAAAAGTTCTCACCTCCGCAAGTAGCTTCTCCGTTTCCATCGCTCCTTAATTTTTGATCTCAATGCCATCCTAACGCGTTTTGGACGCCGGATGCTGAGTACCCTAAGCCTCATACCTATGTTCGTTTATTTTTCTCAGCCCCTCACCCCTGCACACGTTAGGCCACCTCCTGGCTCTCACTGAACCTCATTCCACTTCACCTTCACCTCCAGCTCTTCAGCCCTTCCTCTGCTCCCCTGTCTAGACTCCCCTTTCTAGACTCCCCTCCACCTGCCACCTGTGATTTGTTCCTACCTGCACACCAGACACCCTGGCTCCCTGATACTCCAGTTTGTGCCACTTGTCAGTTGTCCACCCTACCTCAGTCTTGCTGTCTGCGTTCCTTGCTGCTCACAGGTAAACAGCTCTCTAGGGGTTGCTATCATCATAGAACTTGAAGTTCAGCCACTCATGCTCATTTCCAACAGTCTTCTGGCAAGCGTATAACTGTCACCTGCCTCTTCCCTCCTCAGACCTGATGGAACCATCCATGCATTTCCATCAGCTTTTCAGAAGTTCCTCTGACATTCAATTTCTTGCACAAAGTGACAGGCTATCCTGCCCCAGAAACCAATGTGTCCACTACCCCTGTGAGTTTCTGTAAATGTTTCAAGCCTCTGGATTTGAAGTGAATCAGACTTTCCTGCTCTGGCCCATTTCTGCTGCCTTGCACAGACAAGGACAAGTCCAGATGGGTGGGTGGGTCAAGGGAAAAACAAAGTGAAGTTAAGGATTTCTGACTCCACACTTGTGCCTAAACAAAATAGTTCTCCTACATTCAATATCACTTTTCTATGAAAAATGAGGTCTACATTAAAATTTTCCATTTCTCCTGCCTCTCTGACTCTTACTCATCCATCCAACAAATTACAATGTCACAGATTAAATAATATCAACTATGGAAAGCATTTACAAGGTGCTTGACTGTTAGTAAATACTTTATATGCAGCAGCTGTTATTATTAGCTATTAATACACCTGATTTACCAGTGAGTAGATAAACTGAGTCTAGGTTTTCTTCTGACACTCTGTTGCATATCTAATGAAGTTCAAAGGATGACAAAATCATTATCTAGTAATTTGATGTGTTAAAAACAGTCTCTAGAAAGTAATGCCCTTTTAATATGTTGAGAAAGAAGCTGTGCTTCTTGTTAGATGCACTAGATTATTTTGATTAGAGCTAGAATATAAACATCTGCTATTCGTTATTAATGAAAGTTGTGCTTTTTAAGTTTTTTATTAGGGACCATCCCCTGAGCAAGGTGTGCTGTAAATATGTGTATAAATAAGTAGCATACTTAGAGTTCAGAAATGACACTCTTATGGGAACACACCAAGTCAGAAGCCACGAGATAGAATCACCCAAAACTGTCAGAATTTTGAATAAGTGCCAGTTTTCTTCTGTTCTCATGCTTACTGCTTTCTCTAGACACTCGAGTGCCAGGTTGCCTTGTGGCCTGTCATGCCATGCCATGCAGAAGTGCCCTGCCACACCCACACTCATAATGGAAGTCAGATGGGAGACACTTGGACGTTCACCCTGAGTGAAGGAACTGTTCAATTGGAAACAGGCTGCAGTGTGGGGTGGTAGGAGACGAGGATCCAGGTCTCCTGCTTGGCTTTGTTACCCTTCCCTACCTGTGTCACTAGAGCCTGTGACCTCTCTTCTCTGAGCCTCAGTTCCCTCTTCTGTAAACTAAGAATAATCCCTCAGCATTTGTTTTATTTTTTGGAAAGGTGAAATTGACAAAGCATTTTGTGAAATACCACACAAATGTTATGCCCGATGCTTATGGGTTACAGTGATGATGGTGGTAATACCATGGGTGCTTCATCCTGAGCTTGGCTGGGCCACCTAAGGGACTGCTTCTGTAGGTTTTCTTGCTCCTGCCAGTAACTTCCTTCAAGATGGGCCAAAGGATATTTAAAATGCCAAAGTGCATTTCACAGAACATTACTCTCTCAAGATTCTCTGTAGACAAAAGTAACTTTTTAAATACACTGGGGAAACTATTGGAGATCTCAGAGCATACAAGACCATAAATTGCTGAAAAGTAACATTCTGTAGAGGTGTCATTGTGCAACCCACACCCCACCCCTGCATACAAACTTACCACCAAAGAATGTTCTCAGGTGAAGGGAAATGCATCAGGGGAAGAGGGGGTGGGGGGTTGGCAAGGCAGCAGTTTTAAAGAGGGCCTGGTGGTGATGACCTTGGTCCTGAACATCAATGAGGCACTGCCCAGGTAGTGTTGAACTTAGGGAGGGACCAAGGTCCCACAGACAGGGAGAAAGAGTTTGGAGTCACTGCAATCTGAGCCTTAATATGACCTTGTTTGCATGCAAAGGCTAGTGGGACCAGGCAATGTTCCAGTTACAAGATGAAGAAAGAAGTGAAAGGTGTTTGGATATCATTCCTGCTATGGACTGAATTGTTCCTTTAAAATTCATATGTTGAAGCCCTAAGCCCTGGTGTAATGGTATTTGAAAATGGGGCCTTTATGTTTAGAAGAGAGTGGGGCTCTCATGGTGGGATTAGTGTTCTTATAAGAAGACATGCCAGAGAGATTGTGCTCCCTCTGCCAGATGAGGACACAGTGAAAGGGAAGCCTTCTGAAAGCCAGGAAGAAAGCCCTCACCACGCCCTAACCATGCTGGGATCCTGATCTCAGTCTTCCAGCCTCAGAACTGTGAAAAAATAAATCTGTGTGTTTAAGTACCCAGTCTATGGTATTTGGTTAAGTTCCTGTTTCAAAACTTATAGAATGTTAATGTATTTTTTGTAAGTAGGCATTTCTCTTATAGAGATGTTCTATTTCACAACTTTTAAAATAGATTTTACTTGTCGGTAATTGAAAGAACTAAACAAAAGATTTTTTTCCCCTTTAAAAGGCCCCATTTTGACAGCATCAAAGATATGTTTCTGTTTTTCAATAACTTTTTCAAATCCCTTATCAATTATAAGTTAATGAAGTAGGACAAGTTTCTTTCCCAATAAATGGCAGAGGGCCTGG